TTTTTTTATAAAATAGTTTTTTTTCCCCTCAAAAAAAGCATCTAAAGATAGTTTTAATTAAGATACATTATAGCTCAAAGATATTTCATTATGGAATAGAGATTATAAATTCTAATTCTATAGTATGAGACAATATATTCATGTAATGTTTAAGAAAAATTTTGGAAACGAGTTCCAATAGTTCACGGATTAGGGACCCAATGTTATGAGGTTCCAGGGGCTTCTGTATAGATTATTTAGGTTAATCTTTCCATATATCCAATGGGATTCAGTGCTCAATCTAGAAGATACCATCAGAGATGCTTAGTTTTGCACTTCTCAAACTGTGGATTTGTGTCTCCAGAGATAACATGCTTGTTAACAGCAAAAATATTTTTAATTAAATAAATAATAGAGGTGAGAAATAACAGACCTCAACCCTATTGTCCCTCTGCAAATTTGTGTACAGAGTCAATGCCTTACCTCTCTCTAAAAGTGCAAAGTTTCAAAAAGTTCAGTGAATAGAAGATTGTTGGGGGCGGAATAGATCTGGACAAGGAGAAGAAGTCTGGAGATAAATGTGAGAAGGGAAGGACAGGCAACAGAAACAAAAGTGAAACTGTTTGAGCAGCATATTCCAGAAGTCTTGAGGTCTTTCTGAGTATAGCCTTCATTGATTTGAGATCTATCATACCATTCTCTCACTAGAAGGGAAAACCTATAATGGCAGCAGGCTGTAAAAGAGACCCGGTTTGGGAATATTGTAATGAAGTTCCTCTACCTGTGAAGAATATGTATTAAGGTTATAACAACCAACAAGAATGCACTTTTATGTAGAAATCCATGATTAAATTGAGTCTTCCTGACTAGTGATTTAAATCAATTTGATTTCAATCAAATCCACCCTGGTCTGTTCAGCCCTGTTCTGAGGGTATATAGCATTGTGTGGGACCAACTGCTACTCCAGTTCCTTCTCTACTGCAGAACCCATAATAGCATAGAAGTACTCAAACACAGGGGAAGAAAGGCAAGTCATGGAATACACATGGGCAGCATCTCAAAGAACTCCAGTTACTGTACAGGTGACTTCATGCTTGTCCATGTGCGTATATCACTCTAAGTGACTCTAAAGAAGTGCTTTAAGTATTGTAGTTGTGCTCAGAGTCCGATCTACCACTGATTGAAGAACTGCAGTATCAAAAGAGGCATCTGCTCTAGAAGCTTTTACCAACAAATAATGTCTAGAAGAACTGTGAATGGAACTCCAGGTGGCAGCTTTACGGATATCCCCAGTGGAAATGGGCAGACACTGAGGCCTGGTTGAATGAGCCCTAAGATTAGCTGGTGGGACTATCTTCATTATCTCACTACATGATTCAATACACCATGCAACCACTTAGACAATAGTGGTTGGGTGGAAACTGGAGTACTCACTCTTCATACTCTCTGCAAACAAAACAAAGACTCAGGGAAGATCTAAAGAACTGATTCTTGAGAGTTAAAAGGCTAATGCCCTGCAAACATTCAGATTATGTAATCTAGCTTTGTCATGATTAGAATGAGGTTTTAGGGAAAAAAAATATTGCTAAGTGAATATTCTGATTTTAAATTAAAAAAACCCACTTTTTTATATATTTAACACCATTATAAATGCTGGAGGCAAAGCAGGGTTTGGGGTGGAGGCTGACAGCTCATGACCCCCAGCCTTAAAGTCTGAAGCTAACTACAAAGTTAGGTCAACATAAGCCATGTTAGGTCAATTTAATAATGTATGTGTCTACACTACCAAGTCCCTTCCACCAACCTAAGTGGCCTGTAAAGTCGACTTCTGTACTCCACCTCCACGAGAGATGTAGCGCTTGATTCAACATCCACAGGTCGACATGGGGATAGTGTAGACCCAGTGTTGTATAATTTGAATGAATTGGCCTCCAGGAGGTGCCCCACAGTGCTCCGCTGTGACCACTCTGGAGAGCACTTTCAACTCCACAGCACATCAGCCAGGTACACAGGAAACAGCCGCTCCACTGTTAAAGCCCCGGGAACTTTTGAATTTTCATTTCCTGTTTGTTCAGCATGGAGAGCACGTCAGTACAGCTTATAATGGAGACTCAAGGCCGCAGACGCGCTCCAGCATGGAGTGCACAGGAGATGCTGGATCTTATTTCTGTGTGAGGCGTTTCGAGAGGAAGTTCTCCAGGTGAAGGAGCAGCAAATACGGGACCCTTGGGGTACGTGGCTGTCTGTAGTGTGTGTTTGTGTTTGGGGGTAACTTGCAGCGTGCTGAGCTTGTGTTTGTCTGTCTGTTTGTTTGAAGGACCATGTGCTGTGGCTGGCAGTTGGAAGCTGTGAGCTTCTAACCAAAGTTTGAAATCTAGAAGCCTCTGTTCATTGGCTGAGCTTAAGTCAGAGGGTGGGGCTATCAGGAAGGCCAGGGCTTTATAAAGCAGTGAGCAAGCATCCAGGGGCCGCTAACAGGGAGTTTCAAAGGGGAGTGGGAAGGGGGCAAGGTACATTTGACATTCTTTAAAACCTTTAACCTAAACTATAATCAAATTTTCTTGATTTTAAACAAAAACCCTATCATTAACCTAGGCAGCTGTAGGAGACAATGCAGGCAGAAGCCCAGCAGCAGAGTGGGGGCTATCCAGTTTATTGCGCTGAGTGCAGCATGTATGATTACCTGCCCTGTGGGCGGGTGGCGTATGTGTGCATTCGGTGCAAGGAGCTCCTGGCCCTTAGAGACCAAGTACGGGCTTTGGAGGCCAGGGTGGCGAACTGGAGGAGCTAAGGGAGGCAGAGAGGTATGCTGATGAGGCTTTCCGGGACACTGTAGATTTCTCCACCTCCTGTCAGACAGCCCCTGCACTGTTAAGGAGGATGAAAGGCTCAGGGAAGGAGAGCAGTCAACGGGAGCAGAGGGAAACCTTCCCATAGTTGGGACCCTCCTTCCAGATGATGATGGAGTAT